TGTTTTATCTGCTGTTCAAGCCTTACTCCCCCACGTCTCTATGGTCGTTTATTTATACGGAAAATGCCGAAAGGTGGAGCAGAGTAGGGTGAATTTTGATCAGATTTCCGACAAAGGTAAAAGAAGCATTCTTTCTTGGAATACTATCTATGATAGGTACTTACGTTCAAAACGGCTGCGCTTTAGAGGCTTTGACTGTTTTCAAATCGATTACGTGGTTTGTTTTCCTAACCACGTCACTATGGTCAGCATCCTCTCAGCGTGTGCTGAAATCAGAGACTTAGACCTCTGAATTTGGGTTCACAACTACATCGAACAAGTGGGAAAAAACATGTACTATCATCATCCAACGTAAATCTCGCATCTGCGTTGATAGATATGTACTCGAAATGCGGGAATTGGGATGCTGCGAGAGAAGTTTTCGCCGAGAACTTTCCTCGGTGCCTTATCTGCGTGTAGTCACTCGGGGCTATTAGATAAAGGGTGTGAAATTTTCGACGAAATGAATCGAAAAGATTCTCTAATTTCGCCCAAGTTGGAGCATTATTCGTGCTATATCGATCTTTTAGCTCGGTCGGGTTATATATGCAGCGAATTAATATTCTACTTAACAAAATCAGGACATCCACCACAATATAAAGCCAGAACAAGTTCAGCTTGTTCGCCGCGATTACACTGCAAATGAGGGCTGGGAAACGTTTCTTTCGTATGAAGACACACACCAGGTGTGTTTTTTTACATATTTATTTCTTCCTCCACTTATTACCTCTGCCTTTTGCATTGATGTAGTAAAAGAGAATCGCAAATTACACTCATGGAGATAAATACATAATTATTCTGTGCAACTCCATTTCATTTACAGGACATACTTGTTGGATTACTACGTTTGCGTATTCTGTGCAACTCCATTTCATTTACAGGACATACTTGTTGGATTACTACGTTTGCGGAAATGTGGAAAGAATGTAACATGCCCAGAGCTCATTGGTTTTGATAATGTCGAGTTTTGAGGTTTTCTATTCGTGCATCTATCTGTAAGCTATCTATCTATATATCTATCGATGCACTACTTTGGTTTTGTTTAGCGCTCTAATTGAATTGTTGGATGAATATATTTAGATTTATATATGAAATGAACATATAATTATTTCATGATTTTTGCTTGGGCTAAATTTTATTTTTCATCATTGTGCTATGGGGCGGGATCACTTTACCATGTTCTACTCGATCATATCGATTTACCCTTGAATTTGTAAAATTGTTCGAATGTGGACCCGACTTTAGTTTACGGCTTTCAAAAACACTCATCAATTCGATTTTTGTTACTGCGTAATTTAGAGTTGCAATGCTGGTGCTCAACGTGGCTATTTTCCTGTCGATTTTGCAATGCTGGATGGAAAAACACACACACACACACACACACACACACACACACAGAAGTACATGGCACATCATAGTGATTTCACCCCTTCTGAGTCAAAATAATATGTTTGCCCTAATCAACGTGGCTATTTTCCTGTCGATTTTGCAATGCTGGATGGAAAAACACACACACACACACACACACACACACACACACAGAAGTACATGGCACATCATAGTGATTTCACCCCTTCTGAGTCAAAATAATATGTTTGCCCTAATTACACATTCATTCATTCCCTTAATTTTCAGAAATTATTGGAAGTTTCAAGTTATCTTATATATATATATATATATATATATATATATATATATATATATATATATATATATATATATATATATATATATATATATATATATATATATATATATATATATATATATATATATATATATATATATATATATATATATATATATATATATATATCAGATAACATTCAACTAGAAATTAAACAATAAATCAGATGCAATCAAGGAAAAAACAAATTCTTGATTAATTTCAAACATAATTGCTTACAGTAGAGACCGGAAATAATGGTCGAAAAAAAAATATCAAGCTGCATTGAATAATTGATACAAATCGAAAATTAAGAACTAGAACTAATTTCTCCTAACTCCATCCGATATCAAGCTTCTTTGTCTTTTCCTTTTAGTTTTCCTTTGGAAACATCCTAGTGATTCTACAAATTGCGTAATCTTTAAACTTCAACTCAAAATTCAAACAAACCCCGGCCAATGAAAACTCTTGCATAATCCAGTGACCGTGTTCTTCTTCTTCTTCGCCGCTCCGGCCTTTAGGTTTATTCTTGTAAAAAGTGAACATCTTGGACAAGCCGATTAAATTTCCCGATGACTCATCGTAAATTTCTTTGCCACTCGTTTGTCCCTTCCAAGTACCCGATTTTGTTCTTCTGGCGATACGAGTCTTACCATTAACTCGTAATAACTTGGTAAGAACGTACGTGACGTGCTTGAATTTCGTTTCGGAATGAAAATCTTCCCAATGAACGTCTTGAAGAACTTCCCATGGATCTGCTGTTTCGCCGTAAATCTCTTTTTCCGACATCCAATTCCATGGCAGTGGAATCCCCATTGATACTTTCAACAGGTAGCAATTAATCAGCTCTTCGTCCGACGGTACAACACCTTGAGCAATCCTCATTCTTCTCTCCCGTTCTTAATTCTCTCTCTTTCTCTCTCTCGTTGTTCTTCTCTCTCTTTCTGTCTCCTTTTTATCTTTCTCTCTCTCGTATTTTGTTTATTTATACAGGAACGGAATATGTATACATATAATATCTAGGGCAAATGGCAAAATGGCCCATCAAATGGGACTTAAATATATTTTGGTCCACAAAAAAAACAGTCTCTCAATTAAGCCCATCCCCATGTCTTTAGTCTAAAATACCCTCAATAATATAATTCTTATCAATTCCACCCATTATGCTCTAACTTCCTTAATATTACACATTGACCCCAGATTTTAACAAATATATCACATTAACCCTCAAAACTTTTTTTTTTTCAGAAAATATTTTTTTTCTTGCCAGATTCCGGCGTTGATCTCCGGAGACCGCCGGTCTCCGGCGTTGACTTTTTTTTTTTTTTTGAAATTTTTTTTCTTAGAAGAAAAAAATATTTTAATTAATATTATTGGTTTAACTACTAAATTACTGTCTCAGACAGTAATACTACTGTTTGGGACAGTAATATTATGAATATTATTTTTCTGAACAGTAATATTATGAATATTATTTTTCCGAACAGTAATATTATTAATATTATTTTTCCGAACAGTAATATTATTAATATTATTGTGTAAGACAGTTAAATTATTGTTGAAGACAGTTATATTACTGTTGAAGACAGTAATTTAGCATCTAAGGCAGTACTATTAATTAAAATATTTTTTTAAGAAAAAAAATGAAAAAAAAGTTAATTAACAGTTAAATTACTGTCTCCGACAGTTAAATAACTGCTAGAGACAGTAATTTAGCAAACGAATACAGTAATATTAATTAAAAAAAAAATTTAAGAATAAAGAAGTCAATTAACAGTTAAATAACTGTCTCCAACAGTTAAATAACTGCTGGAGACAGTAATTTAGCAACGAATACAGTAATATTAACTAAAATATTTTTGAAGAAAAAAAAAATTCAATTAACAGCTAAATTACTGTCTCCGGCAGTTAAATAACTGCCGGAGACAGTAATTTAGCAGCTAAGACAGTAATATTAATTAAACAAAAAAATTTAAGAAAAAAAAAAATTATAAAAAAAAGTCAACGCCGGAGACCGGCGGTCAACGCCGGAATCTGGCAGGAAAAAAAAAACATTTCAGAAAAAAAAAAATTCTGAAAAAAAAAAGGGGGGTTAAAGTGATATATTTTTTTTAAATCCGGGGTCAATGTGTAATATTAAGGAAGTTAGAGCATAATGGGTGGAATTGATAAGAATTAGGATTAAAATTGGGGTCAAAATTGAAATTAGGGTTAAAATTGGTTAGTTGATGAAATTGGGCTAAATTGGGGTGTAAATCATGAAATTGGAGTTGAATTGGGTTTCAATGAATTGGGGGTAAATTTGGTATATATAAAAGGATTTTCCTTATTTGCAAATAAGTTTGAATGGGGTGGATTTATTTGAAAGACAAAAAAATTGGATGTCCCTCTTTTAATTAAGTGTCCTTGTCATGGGCCTATTTGTCATTACTATAACAACAGTAATATTACCGTCAACCACAGTAATCTTACAATAATAAACAATAATATTATTACGTTACTCCGTGAATAACTCAAACAAACAAAAAAATCCAAACAAATTAATAGTATTGTTGTGGTTGACAACAATATTACTATAACAACAGTAATATTACAATAATAGGCAGTAATATTATTACGTTACTCCGTTAATAACTCAAACAAAATAAAAAACCCAAAAAAATAATAATATTGATGTTGGTGAGAGTAATATTATTGTGTTTACAGTTATTTTACTGTCAATGATAGTAATATAATTACATTGACTTGTCAACAAATCAAACAAAATAAAAAAATAGCAAAAAATAAAAAATAATAATATTACGTAAATTTACTGTCAACGGCAGAACAGTTACATAAATGTTTTGTCAACGACAGTACAATTACGTTAATTAACTGTCATTGAACGTATAATTACGTTAATTTACTATCAGTGACATTACAATTACGGTCAACGTTTAGCGGCAGACGTAAAAAAAATAAAAAATAAAAAAAATAAAAAATAAAAAATAAAAAAAAAAACCTAAAAAAAAAAACTTAAAAAAACACTAAAAAAAAGTCAACGCCGGAAACCGGCGAAAAAATCCAGAAGAAAAGAAAAGAAAGAAAGAAAAAAGAAAAAAAATCGAAAAGGCAACGCCGATGACCGGCGGCAAAAAATATTTTTGAAAAAAAAAAGTCAAAATTGGATTTTTGTGGTCAAAATTGGATTTTTATGAACAAAATTGATTAAATTGGGATTACAGTTAAGAATTTGGTATAAAGGGTTGAGGGTAATATTGGCATATACATGAATGTTTCTTTTATTTATAATAAACTAGTAACCATGCCCGTGCGTTGCACGAGAACCACTACAAAAGAGAAGAAAATAATTATTTTATTTAAAATTGTATATATGTAATATAAGATTCATATGTTCAAAAGCACGGATGGCTAATTTTGCAAAATTTTTGGCAAATGAAAAAAAGAACAATGTTTAAGAAGAAAATAAACTCACCTCACCACAAATTATGTTTCAATCATTGTAAGATAAAGAAAAAAAAAAGACACCTCAATTTTTGATCGAAAAATTTATACCACAAACAATTTAAAAGATTTATAACAAATTGTCTATTGGTCTAAAAATTGTAAAACAATTACAATATATAATATTTATAATTTTAATTTTAAATCATAGTAGAATGAATTAAATTTGATAAGTAATTTTTTATTAGACAAAACAATATACAATACAAAATGTCCTTCGCATACCCGTTGCCCACCGGAATAGCCAAGATACGTTCGACGTCCACCGGCCAAAAAACATCATTTATCAGTTGCATATTCCAAGAATTTGTATTCGACTCGATTAAATCTGAGACCCTATCCGGAAAAGCCAAGTTACTTGGACGCTTGGTGAAAACCTTAAACCCACCTCCCCCTCTAAGCCATGGATCACCCCATATAGATGTGTCGAGATCACTTCCAATTCTTCTACGGAGGCCCATCTTAAAAAACGGAATAACCTTCCAAATGCTTCTCCAAGTGGTTGATGGTCGAGATCCCACGTCAGCGTTAAAGAGATAGCCATGCGGAAAATACTGGAAGAGATAATCTTCGACAACAACAGATCTGGATTAGTGAAAATCCTCTACGCTTGTTTCACAAGCAACGCGATATTGAAGGCTTTCAAGTCTCGAAATCCCAATCGTCCAAGTTCCTTAGCTTTGCACATCTCCCCCCACGACAACCAGGCCATGCCCTTATTCTCTCCATTTCCCCACCAAAATCGTCTGATTGCCATTTCAATTTCATTAATAAGTTCTTCGGGGAGAAGAAAACAGCTCATCACGTAAGTCGGGATAGCCTGTAGGACTGCTTTGATCAAAACTTCCTTGCCCGCTTGGACAGTTGTTTCTCCCCCCAACCCTTGATCTTCAACCACACGGTCTTGTAAATAGGCAAATATCTCTTTTTTGGTTTTTTTTCCAATGGACGCTGGCATACCCAAATATTTGTCATGATGGTCCACAATTCGGAAGCCTAGGATTTGGTTAATGGCATTTCTCCGCGACAGCTGGGTAGTCGGACTAAAAGTCATCGTAGATTTCTCATGATTAATCTCCTGCCCGGAAACTCTGGCCTACTTGACGATAATTTCTTTGAAAACAACAGCATATTCCTCAGTAGCATGCCCGAAAATAAGAGTGTCGTCGGCAACGCACAAGCTAGACACCATCGGAGTTATTTTGGGAGACACAGACGCCTTGGAATTCTCCTCTAACAGTGGCATTTGCAATCATTGCAATAAGAGCCTCAGCACAGTAGATAAACAGGTACGGGGAGAGGGGGTTGCCCTGCCGAAGCCCTCTCGAGGGAATGACACCGCCAAACTGCGTACCATTAAATAAAAACGAAAATGAGAGCATCAGCACAACATAATAAGATCAATAAGGCGAGAGGGGATTCCAAAACAAGAAAGAATATTTTGCAGAAAAAGCCATTCAATCCGACTTTATGCCTTACTAATGTCCAATTTAATAGCCATGTAATTAGTTTTAATATTAGAGCTCAATTTAGTGAAATGATTGATCTCAAAAGCAACGAAAACGTTATTAGAAATTAAACGTTTTGGAACGAAGGCAGACTGAGTAGGGGAGATCAAGTCATTTAAGACCAATTTCAGACAATTGGCTAAAACTTTCGACCCAAATTTATAAATAACGTTGCAAAGGCTTATAGGTCGATAATCAGTGATTTTTTCCGGGTTTTTCACCTTCGGGATTAAAACAATAAAAGTGGAATTAAGGTCTGGGGGAAGTTTGCAGTGATTAAAGAATTCAAGCACACAAGAAAGAACATCGGACCCTAACAAATGCCAATATTTAGTGAAAAAAACAACGGGTAAACTATTCGGGCCCGGGGATTTAAGAGGAGCCATTTGAGAAATGGTTGGGGTTACCTCATCCGAAGTAAAAGGCTTTGACAGAAGTTGACTAGCTTCCCTGGAAATTCTGGTCTCGACACTCGCCAACACCTCATCTATTTCATCCTCTCTCGAATTTGTGGACTTGAAGATGTGCTCGAAATAATTAGAAATAATATTCTCAATGTCCTCATCTTTCTCTTTCCAAATTCCCTCTGTATCTTTAAGACGATCCATTCGGTTTGTACGCTCCTGATAGTGGCCTTGGAGTGAAAAAACCTCGTATTCATGTCCCCTTCTTGAATCCATTGCACTCGACTGCGTTGGTGCCAGTACTTGTCATCGTCTCCATAAGCTTGTTCCAACTCAACTCTCACAGCCCGGATTTCTTCCCTTCGAGCAACTGTTTGTTCGGCCAATAGGAGAGATTGGAGTCGTTTGTGAAGACTTTTAATCTTCTTTCTCGGCTGCTATAGACTTCAATAACCATTTTTATTCCTTTATTTCATTTAATTATTTTTTTAATTTTATTTAAAAAAAATCTTCTAGCACATAAATTCATGGGTACATATTGAAAAAAACACTGATTTCCGTCAATTTTGATTGGAGATTTTGCGATTTTGGAACAACTTTTCATTCTAAATTCCGATCATTATGATATCTGATTTTTAATATATATATATATATATATATATATATATATATATATATATATATATATATATATATATATACTTATTCATAAAGAGATCCAGACAAAAAACTCTTTTACCAATAAGTCCACACATGGTCTAGATTTTTGTAAAAGACTAGAATAGCCCCTCATACTTTAATATGCTCCAATTTCATCCCAATTTGACCATAATTTGACCCCAAATTTCACGAATTATTCAATTATTCAATAATTTATTTCCTTTTGTTGTTAGTTTATCAATAATCTTGAACCTAAATTTACAACCATAGTAAGTTATATAGTTAAATAGATTTAAGAATTTCGCGCTCAGGGTCTTCTGTTTACCGCGGCAACCTAATATCTTCCCTTTCAACGCAATCATGTTCTGGCTAGTAGACATTGAACGAATTCTGAAGGTTCCTGTATGGTTGAGACATGCAAAGGAGACATGGATTTGGCACCATTCGAAAAATCACTACAACAAAAACTCCCTTTTAGGGCATGGATAAGTGTCCCAATAAGACATGTATTGGGACACTTGGACTTTTAGAGACAATTGTTGCAAGTGTCGCATGTTTGAGTGTCCTATAAAGTTAGGGACACTTAAAGTGTCTCAATATAGTGTTTTATCGGGACAATTTATAAATATCTCGATAGAGTTGGAGACAAAATTAAGTGTCCCGAAATATATTGTATCGGGACAATTATAGACATCCTTATTTGATTTGGAGACAAATATAAGTGTCACATAACGAATATATTGGGACATTCAAAATTATCACTACATATAGTTGAGACAAAACTAAATGTCCTATAACAGACTTTAAAAGAGTAATATAACCTGTTTAGAGACACTTATATGTATTACAAATGTTATCAAATACAATTAATACGATAATTTCTTACTCAAAAAAAAAAATACGATAATTTCTAATATTTCAGCTGCGTTATCAAAGCATGTAATCTACTAGAAGTACAGTATATAATAAAGGTACAAAAGAATATGAAATAAAATCAAAAGTAATCCATTTATTAAAATCCACAATTAATTCAATGTATTTTCATGAGTTGCCAACAAATGGTCAACTAGTATTCAGTGACAAATAGACAAAACATACAAGAGTCCTATGACTAAATCGCATATTGGCAAGTTGCTTTTATCCTTTGGAGGTTTTGCTCTTTCTCTTGTGTGAGTTAAGCTTTTCTCCATGATCATTTTTTGAAATCAGCCTGTTACAATAATCACAAAGATCAAAAATAGAACGTATATAATATAACTTGCTCAGAGATTGGAAGATCTCTAAAGAAATTCTCTTAAGTTAATAGTAACTAACCGAGAATACCTAATAAAACAGTTAAATGTCTAGTGTAATATAAAAAACTCACCTTTGATAAACTCATGTCTGACAAAGCATAAACTACTGCCCAATTAAGCAATTTTGAGTCTTATCTTGTGATCTGCACAAAAGACAATATAAAATTACTTCACGAGCCAATGTATCTACATAGGTTAGATGTCATATCAAAACAATAACGAGATAACAACATTTCCAAATCTAAATTCGACTAGGTAAATTGAACAAAGAAGCTCACTATCACTTCGATAGATATTCCAGTAGGCAGAGTGACAGTTATTTGTCTAAAAGACATAAATAACTGGATATGGAAACAAAAATATCAACTAACCTGTATATATCATATCTAATAAAAAACTAGAACATCACAAGACATGCATCGATAGAGTGCCATTTTGAATTATATATAACCAAAAAAAATATCAAGTTAATGTGCAAACCTGTGGGCAGTAACAACAGATGCAACAAAGACAAGTAACCTATTATAAAAATTAAAACAACAAAAATTCTATGAGAGACTAAATCATTCTATCACCTCTAAGAATGTAAATTGTACTTAACATTTGTACAAAGTTAATATAACTTCTTCACCTGTTCAATGGATAATTTATATCAGATATCTTGGGGGACACCTCAGGAGAGAGCCAATCTGTGATTCCGGGTGAAACATCAATAGTGAAGCGGGCTCAGGATGAAGAATCTGCAATAGAAATCTAATTCCAAAATATAGTTTCAGCAGTAAAAGCAATATTTTAATTAACACGTATAAATGCATAGCTACCATTACAATCAATTATGTATACTTCTTAGCACAATCTTCTATATAAGTTCGTCTCATTTCACAGTCAACGATAAACTGCATAGTCAAAATAAATATACAACTAGCAGATAAGAGACATTCACCAATAATATATTTCTAAATCCTAATTCAGTAGCAAAATCATGTACAAACATATAGTCTCAAATAATATCTTTAAGTCCAATGTCTAACTATGAACGACTATTTTGTAAATTAGCGGTACCAAAATTTTACCAGTTGCATATATACCTAATCGAATAATCCATGACTAAAATCATTAACCCAAATGCAAAAATCATAAGTATAGCTCATCAAGTTTGAACAATGAACAATTAAAATTGCACTTCTATATTGAATTGATTCACCGCAAAACTCTATAGAGTCTGTTATTACCACTCCCAAAAAGAAAAAAACGAAATACCTTTCATCGTTGTGCCCCAACTCATCAATTAATCCTTCATCGTCGTTGCCCTAGCTCGTCTTACCGCCGTCGATTAATTGATGACATTAAGCATCTTCGGCCGTCGATTTGAGACTACAGACAAGAAAACTATTAGCCGCTTTCACGATTTCAAAGAAACTTTAACCATTTAGATCTTCTACAATGAGAAAGAAAATCTGCTACTGTCGAATCGAGAAAAAGAAATGAAAAATATTAGTCAATATAAACCCTAGATTATAGATTAGAAAAATTGGGAGAAGAAGTGAAAGAAAATAAAATAAAAGATACGATTGGAGAAAGTGAAAGGTGAGGTGGGCTAAAAAGAATAAAAAATTAACTTATATAAAAATATGCTAAATTATTTGATAATTAAGTGTCCCTATATGTTTAGTAATTGAAGCACAAATTATAAGTGTCCTAATAATTTATCTTTGGGACATTTATAAGAAAACGTCTCTAATCAAGTGTCCCATTATCTTCATTTTGTTGTAGTGAATGGCAAGTTTACGATGAAATCATGCTATCATATGATTCTCGCATCTATATCGTCGACAGGCAATCTGCAAAAAGAATTGGATGGCTCGTCTAGTGGCGAGGGGAACCGTGAGTGGCAAGGTGTTTGGGCACTTCCACTCCCACCGAAAATTTGTACTTTTTTATGGCGTCTCTTTAGCAATATTATTCCTACCAATGCTGAGCTTTTTAGACGAAAGGTTATTACTTCTCCTATGTGCTGCCGCTGCAATAAAGACGTAGAAACTACCACGCATGTCCTGATTGAATGTCGAGGTGCGGAGGAAATCTGGAAGACCCTTTTACTCGACCCGACTTCAGAGTTGAAAGGTCGTCTATATCGAGTTGGCTGGCAAATTTGAGGAAGGAGCTGAACGGTGATATTTTTTGTTG